GACCTGCTCCTGTAGCCACAGGATTGATATGGGGCTGGGGTCTCGGTTCAGTTTCTGCTCAATGGGCACCCCCAAGATGTTGGTAGTCGGGGTGGGGGGCGCGGAATTCAGTGATGGGGACACCATTGAATGTCAAGGAGGGGTGATGGTTAGATTCTGTCTTGTTGGTAATGGGCATAGCCTGGCAGTTGTGTGGGGCAAATGTCACTTGTTAGCCCCAAGCCTGGATATTGTCCAGATCTTGCTGCATTTCAACATGGACTGATTTTTTACAATTCATTCATGGCCAGCATTTATAGTGCATCCCTAATTGCCCAGAGGGCAGGAAAGAGCCAATTGCATTGCTGTGATCTGGAGTCACGAGTAAGGATGGCAGACTTCCTCCTCTATAGGGCATTAGTGAACTAAATGGGATTAACCTGAGAATAGGAATTAGCAATATCATTAGACCTGTATTCCCAGGTTATTATTGAATTTAAATTCCATCATCTGTCATGGTGGGATTTCAACCCAGGTCTGCAGAAAGTTACCTGAGTTTTGGATTAATAGTCTAGTAATAATACCAGTCAGCCATCGCCTACCTCAGTATCTGAGGAGTTGCAAATGGTGTTGCATGTTGTGCAATCATCAGTGAATGTCTCCACTTCCGACCTCCAAAGATCTATCCATCTCCCGTATCTCCTTGTCTCCCTCAATCCCTTCAGTGTCCCCCGCAAATATGTATCCATCTCCCAGTCTCCCGCACTCTCGCCGTGTCCCTCCACACCCCGAAAAAGTCCGAGTATGGAATCTATTCAGCGACAGTGTAGAGGAAGCTTAACTCGTCACATAACCCCATGCTGCGACTGTCCCTGAGAGTGTTTGATGGGGGACAGTGCAGAGGGAGCTTTACTCTGTATCTAACCCCGTGCTGTCCCTGTCCTTGGGTGTGTTTGATGAGGGGGTGGGGAACAGTGTAGAGGGAGCTTTCCTCTGTATCAAACCCCGTGCTGTCTCTGTTCCTGGGAGTGTTTGATGATGCCCTTTCTCCTCCCCAGTCCCATTTCATGCGGTGCACCGAGGATCACCCTGAATTTGAAGGAATTGACTGCGAAATCTTTGAGGCTGCCGAACCGATGACCATGGCTCTGTCTACACTCGTCACCATCGAGATGAGCAATGCTCTGAACAGGTGGGTGATTGTTATCCCAAAACTGGTGTCTGTGTGCGCCTCCTCTGATCAACAACAGTCAGCTGCTCTTCCCTGCCCTACCACAGCCTCTCCCCACTTACCGGCCTGTGGCACGTTGACTGGGAGCCTTTTGGTTCCCTGGCATCGTTCACAATTAAACTCAACAGTTTGGCTCAGAAGGAGCATGTAATAATCAACATCGGAGTGAGCACGCGCAAATTTACCACCGAACCATTGATCCCGTGACAGCGCAATGATTAACCCCCCCCCACCTTCAACAAATTCCTCTTCGCGCTCTTCAAAGAAGTGTGCTAATTGTCCGAGCGCAGCAAGTATTGCCTTTGTGTAAAACATTGTAGCTGCTGGCGCGCTGACTGAGTGTTTTTCGTCTTTGCAGCCTGTCAGAGAACCAGTCGCTCGTCAGGATGCCGCCGTGGTTGAACTGCTGGTTGCTGAGTGCTATCTGCCTCTCCATGTCTCTGCATTTCTTCATCCTTTATGTTGACCCATTGCCGGTAAGCTTCGCAGAGCTGGGGCGGGCTATCGGGGTTGGGGGGGGGACGTTAGCAGGCGGTGGCTTGCTGTCAGCTCCAGGACCATGTAACTCTGAGTGACCCCCTGTGTGTGACGGTGTAATTCCGAGTGACCCCCCCGTGTGACGGCGTAACTCCCAGTGACCCCCCCGTGTGATGGTGTAACTCCGAGTGACCGCGATACAATTTCACTTTGAGTGACCCCGTGTCAGTTTAACTGCAAGTGACTGTGATACAATTTATCTCTGAATGACCACGCAATGAACAAAATCTGAAATGACCACTCTAATCAACTCTCATGGCAACATCCACCTATCTCCTCATCTTCTCCTTTCTGCCTCTCTTTTCACCTCAAACTGCACACCTCTACATCTGCCATCTCTCGAACCCACACCATGTTTCTCAACTCCCAGAGGAGCCTCTACAGCAACTGGGAAAACTTCATTCACAAGCCGTGGACCCCACCCACTTATCCTATCCCTAATTGCCCCCCCTCCCACCCCCCCGAAGAAGGTGGGGGCTGAGCTGCCTTCTTGAACCACCACAGTCACCCACCCCCTCCCTGCATGGTGCAGGGACACAGCGTCCTTTTGGGAGGGAGTTCCGGGGCTTTGACCCTGAAGGAATAGCCAATATCGTTCCGAGTCGTGATTGTGTGGAGGGGTCTCAGATTGGAACTTGCAGGGGATGGTGCTGCCCCTCCAAGGGTGTAAGGGGTGACGAGTTCGGAAGGTGCTGTCAGTTGACAAATTGCTGTAGCACTCCTTATAGATGGCACACACACCGCTGCCACTGTGTGGGAGGGAGAGAAGTGTTGAACGCGGGGGGGCGGTCAGTGTCTCGATCGAGCCGGGGAGTCGGGGTGGGGGGGG